GGTGCGACTCTCTAACCAGCTGGCGACACATTGGACTGTATGGGTGTCATACCATACGCCAATTGTGTGAGACCATTGGGCTAAATGTTCTTCTCCCTCTCTCAATGTAGAAACTATTAATGCATTTAATGTACTAATAAAGTTAGATTTTAGTCAAGTTGTTGATTTTAGTTTAGTTGTGCAGCTGGGGGGTTTCCACCCTTTTTGCAATCATCTCTTGCAGGCTGGAATTCTGCCAGCCTGCAAGAGCTCTTTGCAAAAATGAGGAATCTGCTGGTTTCTCTGCTAAAAGGGAAATCCGTGGTTTTCTCCATTTTCCCATGGGAAACGGAAAACCCAGATCCTTGGTCATCAGCATAACCATACTTCTTGGACTGGGTGTCAGGCAGGTTGACAACATACATGTTGAAAAGTAATGGAGAAAGTACTGAGCTTTGTGGAATGCCATTCTTGAGACTTCTAGGGTGGCTTTTCCTGTCTGCTGATGGTCTTGAGAGTGAAACTGTTGTTCTGAAACATGAACATAATAAGGACCCCAGAATATACAAAGAATCCAGTCTCAGATCTGTAAATGGTTACTGAAGCCACTTATTTTTATAATGGCTAAAAGCTGAAGAATATAGAGGGGCTTTGGGCAAGTCGGCTCAAATACAATTATGAATGTTCATTTTGCTTGTTGAGCCTGTAGCAGAATGCCATCTTAGTCTCTTGTCAAACTCTGCTATCAGGTTTTTCCTTGCCATTGTTTCATCAGCTGCCTGTCCATTTGGTTGCTGTGGTCACTGTGGTGGGCAGGCAGCCCTCTCCCCATCTGTTTCATGTAATCCTGAGTTGTAACCTGGGCTGGAGATGTTCCTGAGGGAGGGGGAACCTGCTCCTGTGGACAGGAGGCCCTACAGATAATGAAGGGGGAGAACTCCACCTCCCTATTGTGTTAGCACTGACCTCATGGCCTGTGGCAGGGGCTTGACTCCTATATTTGACCAGTGTTGCTTTTAAACTGATTGGACCTGAAAGGTGAGGTCATTTGAAAGCACCAGGCTTCAGCCAATGGGGCTGCTTCTGGTGGGACCTTAGAGATGAGGTCATGAGAGGGGATAAAAGGGGTCCCCATGAGGAAGGAGGTAGAGAGCCATCTTAGAGAGCCATTTTGGACAGCATGGGAGAACTGACCAGACAGAGAGAGGGGGATCTCTCCCTCTCTCTCTTGAAACTGTAAACACATAGAACTGGCTGCCTCCAGAGGAAAACTCAACCAGCCTCTGGATGATACTTGTGAGTAAGCTACTTGAAACCTATTTATATATATAGCTGGCAGTATAGCAGGTGCATAATCAATAGCTATCTAGCCACAGCTTGCTCTAACATCCAGGGAGGTGATGCTTCCCCTCTATGCGGCACTGTTCATGCCACAGTTAGAGTACTTCATCCAGTTTTGGGTGCCACACTTCAAAAGGGATATGGACAATCTTGAGAGGGTTCAGATGAGTGCCACTCATTTGGTCAGAGACCTGTAGGCAAGGCCCTACGAGGAGAGACTGAGGGACCTAGATCTCTTCAGCCTTCACAAGAGAAGGCTGAGAGGTGATCTTGTGGCTGCCTATAAATTCATCAGGGGAGGGCAGCAGGGAATAGGAGATGCTATATTTACTAGGGCATCCCTTGGAGTAACTAGGAACAATGGCCATAAATTGACAGAGAGCAGACTTAAGTTGGACATTAAAAAGAACTTCTTCACAGTAAGGGTTGCCAGAATTTGGAATGGGCTTCCAAGGGAGGTGGTGCTCTCCCCTACCTTAGGGGTTTTCAAGAGAAGACTGGACAAGCACTTAGCTGGGGTTATCTGACCCCAGTGCTCTTTCCTGCCCAGGGCAGGAGGTCAGACTTGATGACCTACTGAGGTCCCTTCTGACCCTGATATCTATGAATCTAAAGTTATTCTCTGATTCCTCCCTATCCTGAATCCTACCCCAAGCCTCTTCTCTGTAAACCAATAAAGTTCTCCACAGTACCTAGCATGGTGGATTCATTGGGAGAGGGATAAGAGGCATGCCTTCATGTCCCCTTGGTCCAGCAGAATAAGGGAGGCTACTATCTGTGCTCCAGGCCAAGGGAAGCACCCCAAGTTTTTACAGTGGGTTGAGTACCCTCAAGGTCTACAAGGCCTGTGTATCCCAGGGGGTACTCAGAGCCTGATAGATAGTTGGGCGCAGTGAGGTACATGGCTCAGTGCAGGAACACCCCTTGCTGAGCTGCCACAGAGCCAAGTCGGAGCAGCCCTAGCTGGCTCAATGTGCTGCAGAGGGGCTGACTGAGGCACAAGGGTGCTTCAGTGTGGGGCTAGCCAGCAGGCAGCCCCTGCACTGAAGTACCTTCAGGCCCCAGCCAACTGCATCAGCATCTACGTGTGCATCCAGAAGAGCCCGCATGTGCCTCTTGCAGCATCTAAAAGCCCTTTGAGACGCTGCAAGAGGCATGTGTGGGAACAAAAAAATTTTTATACCTCAGTTTATACTTTTATTACATATTAAACAACAATATCAGTTGCAAAATGTAAACATTAAGTTTTCCATAGCATCTCCCTAAACTCCCTCCTTGGACTTGATGTTTCTCCAACATGCTGTAATTACAGCCAGTTGGAGCAGACTCAGTTTCATAGACGTTAGCGCTGGAAAAGACCTCGAAGATCATCAAGTCCAGCTCCCTGCCCCAGGTGCAGGAAGTCAGCTGGGGTCAAAGGATCCCAGCAAGATAAGCATCCAAGCACTTCTTGAATGAGTCTAGAGTAGGTGCCTGCACCACTGCTGGATGGAGTCTATTCCAGGACTTGGGGGCTTGGACAGTAAAGAAATTTTTCCTTACGTCCAGCCTAAAACAGTCTTGGAGGAGTTTATGACTGTTTGTCTGTTCACCAGAGTGCTCCAAGGAAAAACAAAGACCTTCTCCCAGATCCTGATGCACACCCCTTATACTTATAAGCAGCCACCAGGTCCCCCCTGAGCCTGCGCTTTTCCAGGCTGAACAGTCCCATAGCTCTCAGCCTCTCTTCATAAGGCTTATTCTCTTGCCCTCTGATCACATGCATGGCTCTCCTTTGGACTCTCTCAAACTTCTTGACATCCTTCTTGAATTGTGGAACCCAGAATTTGATGCAGTACTCCAGCTGCAGCCTCACCAAGGCTGAGTACAGCGGGAGGATGACATCCTGAGACTTACTTGAGAAGCATCTATGGATGCAAGCCAGAGTATTGTTTGCTTTGCCAGCTGCGACATTGCACTGGTGGCTCATGTTCATCCTGTGGTCAATCATGACCCCAAAGTCTCTTTCAGCCATGGTGCTAGCAAGCGTAGCGAGTCTGATGGAGCGTGGTAATTGCCACACTTCATCAGCCTCCAGCATCTTGTGTATCAGTGTCCCTGTGCTTAAAAATGATAGTGGAGGTGCTTTATGTGAAGCTTGTTTGATGAGCATTAGATAAAGCACCCCTGCTGCCATTTTTAAGTGCGGGGACACTGATACACAAGACACTCTGAGTGCTTTAATTAGAGCGGCTCTTGGAGCCACTCTAACTAAAGCACTCCCGCCCACACTCCCAGAGCATGTGTATAAACACCCTAATAAATTTTCATTTCATCCTGTTATTGTAGCTAAGCAATTATCTTTCTAATAAAATAATATTTCAAGCTACAAGGGAAAATCAGAAAAAATATACCAACTAAGAAACACAAATAATAAGAACCAGCAAAATGAACACAATTAAAAATCAACACTTAAAATGTGTCATTTGGATCTGGGGTATACCTACCAGATGCTTTTGGAATGACCTAATGAAATGGATCACAAAGAAATGTGTTACTTGCAAACTTTAAATTGTGATTCAATGGTCCAGCAAAACATAAAAGTACTATCGAAATGGAACAGCCTGGATTTGGTTTCATAGTTTCATAGTTTCTAGGGTTGGAAGGGACCTGAGTAGATCATCTAGTCTGACCCCCTGCCATGGCAGGAAAGAGTACTGGGGTCAAACGACCCCAGCAAGGTGTTCATCTAACCTCCTCTTAAAGACCCCCAGGGTAGGGGCCAGCACCACTTCCCTTGGAAGCTGGTTCCAGACCCTAGACGGTTGATTTTTATGAAGCAGCAACACCACCGCAGAATCAAATCTCAGCAAGTTCAATTCCAGGATGATGGTAAAAACAAAAAGTCAAGTGATATCACTGATTTGGACATCAAACCTTCCAAAGACATAGCATTTGTGACTGGCAGGGCACAAACATCTAGGCACCAGAATTTGTCAAAATACTCTCTTTCTTTTCCAACGATTCCCAAGGGGCTTTGGAACATAGTTATTCAGACTTCTCCTAGCTTCATGAAACACTTCCCAGTTTTTAGGAGGAAAAACTAGCAAGCTAACAAACAAGCAAGTCTTTAACAGAAATTCCAACTGAGACTGAAAGCACTTTCCATGTCAATGCCATTCTTTCTGAATAGGATCTCATGTCTTCAGACTTTTCTTATTTAAGGATAACTAAACATTTAGAAGATGGATCTAAAAGAGACAAAGGAGTGCTAAAGCACAAAGCAATGAACCCATCCACCTGGACTCAGATGCTTTCTCAATACTGGAAAAGGCAACTCTTTCTACTCACTTGCCTGAATAGCTACACATGTAGTTTCAGCTTTGACAGCTTGCATGCCAACAGATTTTTAAATGCTAATTGAGAAAACATCGTATGAAAAAAGGACAATAAAATATGCAATGGGCACACTTACATGAGACATTTTTTGCAAGTAGGTTAATTAGCTCCACAGTAAATGTCTCAATGTCTACATGTGCAACCCTATTAGGCCATAGGAAACTAAAACTCCACATCAGGGTAGTACTTGTAAATACACGTACTTTCCTGCTCCGGAATTGTTTAATTCGCAGTAATGCATGTGTAGACACTGACACAGTTGGCTGGGGCCTGAAAGTGCTACAGTGCAAGGGCTGCCTGCTGGCTAGCCCCACAGTGGAGTACACTTGTGCCCCAGCCAGCCCCTCTGCAGCACATTGAGCCAGGTCAAAGCAGCCCCAGGCTGGCAAGCTGACCCCCCACCCCCTGCCAGCCAGGGCTGCTCCAACCCAGCTCAATGTGCTGTGATGTATATATGTAGACAGTGTGTGTGTGTGTGTGTGGGGGGGATATAGATATAATGTATGTATATGTAGACTCAATGTCCAAGGTGTATATATGTAGATATAGTGCTTCGGAGCAATAAGCTCTGCCACAATGTGCACTGGA